AAATAATATACCAAGTAAAATTCATATCTTTAATTCAACTAATGATATATCTTTATATATCCAAATACAAACCATATAAAATATAAAACTGTCTCTTAAAATCTCATTGGTCAACATATTCTCTGACGATTAAGTAATCATACCCATTTCATCTTTTAGCTTCACATAAGACTAACCAAACTTATCACTTAGTCATCTGTAAAGAAAAAGTAAAAGGGGAATGAGCAAACCACAGCTCAGTAAGTATAGGCTCACACACCTTATCAGATCAAGCATCATTTTTTTACACATCATATAGATCATTCAAAACATTTATCAAATCATAATATCAAAATATTTCAAGATCATCATTTTGTCAAATATTTCATAAATTCATAAATCAATGTCAAAATATGTCACTTCATAAATCATTGTAAAGTATGCTATCATTCAAACATCATAATCAAACCAAATCATGGATCAATCATTAAAAATCATCGTAAATCATCATTATCATAAAATCATCATTATCATTCAAATCGTTAGCTACGGTCACTGCTATAACCCGTGACATTAGCCATATCGATAATTTCATTCTCATGATCATTGCTAACTATTATAACTTGTTAGCCAAGGCTTACGCTAACTACTATTACCCGTTAGCCAGGGTCGTATGATCATGTCTTTGCTAACTACTATTACCCATTAGCCAGGGTCGTAGAGCTAAGTTCTGATGTCGATGATCCCACTTTTCAGGGATATAAAAACGTAGCTATCATAAAATCATTCTTTAAACATAAATCATTTTCTCATTTCATTCATAAGCATGATCCATTATTTATATAGAGAAACACAAAATAATCATATGCTTGATCCTATTTTCATACACTGAAAATAATGAAATAAAACATTTTTTCATTTAGAAACATATATATATACATAGATTCGAAAACAAGCAAAGTGTGTGAGATTCTACTTACCTCCATTCGATTCTACCACTTAGTTTTTCTCCAAAAATAATTAATGGCCTATCCAAGATCATTTCAACATATCAAAATTTAATCAACCCTTTTTGAGACCATTTATACAAAAATCAACTAAGTTACACAAAGGGTTAACTTAACTAATTAATACTGGCAGCCTGACCTCTTTTCATTAAAACAATCATATCTCAATATATCCAAATCGGAATTATGATCTCTTTAATGCGTTATAAACTAGACTTGATAAGCTTTCTAACCATATATGGAACACCTCGTAATTCCTTGTAGATTAGTTATAACAATTTTTGAAATCCACGCCATATACTGCTGCCAAACAGCCTGTATACCTTCTAATAAAAATTATATATTTATTCACAGGAAACTCGAAATTCAATTCCGCTTATTTCATTGGAAAGTAGACTCAATAAACTTTCCAAACATATATGGCTTAATCTGTAAATCCTTATATATAAATTAAGAAAAATTTCGTAATTCAACCCTGATGCTGTTGTCTTATAGCCTGCATATCCTTAAGTTAAAATTAGACAACTCTTCATAAAAACTCGGATTTGACTTTTATTTATTTCATTAGAAACTAGATTCAACATGATTTCCAATGATATATAATAATCACAGCAATAATCTATCCATTAATGTAAAATTTTATTTTAATTCATTATTACAGATCATAATATCTCATTCAAAAACATAATTTCTCCTTCAATCTTTAAAAACTCAAATCCTTACTTTCAGGCTTCAAACTCCATTCAATAATCATCAATAAATCTTAAGAACATGAAATAAAAAAAACACAGTAATTTACCGAAATAGATCATCAAGATTAATGAAGGATTTCATGATTTTTCTTGGTTTTTCTCTCAAAACTTCAACTCCAAATAATAGCAATCAACTTGATATTTCTTCTTAAATAAAAAGAGAGCATGTACTCACTTTTAAGGAATTAACTTGATTGTAGCCTCTGTTTGTGAATCTCCAACTTGATTTTTCATATTCTCTAACCCTAAGAAAGATGAGGAAGAAAAAAAATTTTTTTTTTTGTTTCACGATAATTAAATTTTCTTTCATCTAATACTTCAATCATTTTTCTTTTACTAAATAATATCTTAATAAACTTATGAGCTTTAATATTAGTCTAGCTCAATTATTATTTGAGCTAGGGTATTACATCAACAATTCAAATTAGCAACCAAGCAAATTAACTAGTGTCTCCCAACTTCTGAAATCTATGAAAGGGTAAGGACGCAAATCTAACCTGTGGTTCTGTAAGCATGCCCTCGGGACGAGATATAATTCTTGCCAGATCTGACAGCATCAAGTCAAAGACTAGATAAAGACTATATTGCATTCTTGATGTGGCGAATCCCTCAAGCTTCACTACATTGGGATGATCTAACTTCTGCAATAACATTATCTCTCCTGCCATAAATTTCACGCTCTCAGGTTCTGATGTGTCAAACCGGACCTTCTTCCAGACAACTATCTTTCCAGTCTCCCTATCTCGAGCTTTATACACATTGCTGTAACCAAACAGCAAAAGGAAAATTTACATCATTTGCATTTCTTACGATAAATTCACAATATTTTTAAGTTAATCTTGCATCAGTTACTCACAGAAGCAAGGACTATAATAATTTCAAATTTTAATTAATTTCTTCTTGTTACTTGGATCAGAGTATATATAATGAATTCAACTCAGATGAACCTAATATAACCAACTTGGAGTTGTCATCTTGAGACTACTGAACATTCTAACCAAGCTAGGAGCAGAGAAGGATAGCATCAAAATTTTAGTGAATAATTTTTCTTTACGCCATTTCCTTGCCAACCAAACAATGTCTGCCAAGGAATTTAATTTTAAAGAAAATAATATCATATGTTTTCAAATTGTACTCAGGTCATTAAAAATCCAAATTCTATTTCCTTCTTCAATGACAAAGACCACCAGTTTACCACATATTCTCCATCTATACTTACCACAGTTATTTGATAGTAACCCAACCATTCTTAGCAGAGAAATTAGAGTAACATCAAAGTGTAATAATTACTTTATCAAGATTATCAAACGATTCAGCACCTTTTGGAACCAAACCAGCCAAAACCGCTTTTGGGATATTATCAATGAGCCATTTAGGCCATCCATCAACGATCTCATCTCCAACAACCAAAACATTTCTCTTTCCAACAGATTCATTGCTTCTCTCTTTTTTCTTTACCATTGAATTTCCCTCTGCCATCAGCACCACAAGCAACAAAGGCATCAGCACTACCAAATCCATTAAGCTTCTTTAGTGGTTCAGGCCTGTAAATCCGACCTGGCTCAGAATACCTCTGACCAGTTGACATTCTATGACCCACAAATCCTCCTGTTCCCATATACCAATTTTCCATTTTTAGCTTCTGTAAGTCTCTAGGAGGTGAGTTCATTGAATTCTTGCCTTGAACACACCCCATTACTTTGTTTCAGTTGCCAAAAAGGCTTATTCGTCTAATTTATTGTTTAACAATGAGCAACAAAGTAGAGAAAAGACCATGAAGAATAAGAAGAAAAGAAAGGGAGACACTTGGAAGAGTTTAAAGAATAAGAAGAAGGTGACAACAATGGCCGTACCAAATCGGCATTATTGGAATTTTGCTGTATGAGAGAAATAAAAGGATCTCCTTTTTTTGGCTCAATTCTTTTTGGGGTTTTTTTTGTCTTGCTTTCTCCGCTCATTCAGACAGAAAAAAGTGAAACTAGAAACCCCATTAATTGAATTGTTTTTGTCATAACTGTTTATGACTGGAGACAAATAGCCGAAACTGCAAAGGGCAATCCACTTCCCCTTCACCAAACTACATGCGAAAAACTGGAATGTGTCAAAAAGTGTTGGCATTTGGAGGTCACGCAGTATTTTTTTCTGTCAAACGAACACTTAAAATAAAGAAATTATTTTTCAAAAATTATTTTTCCCAAAACAAACGAAGCCTTAAACTTTGCTTCAGAGTTGAGACATTCAGGCCCTGGCTTCCAGGAGAAGAACAAACTCTCTTTCTTTGAAGTGTGTCTTTTTCCTTCTTTCTTTTCATGAATTCGGGTTTAAAGCACTTGCTTTTGTTTTGGCCAAAAGCTGAGGATATGAATTTGTCTGCTTGGCAACTAAATTTTTGGGTATCATTGTTTTCCTGATTAAAGCCTTCTTTTTTATTTTTTTGGCACCAAACAAGGGAATGAATCATCTAGTACAAGTTTATTAGGTTAGGTCCTTTATTGGCTTGACTGAGACATTTGTAGCAGAGAGTAGAAAGCTAAGCTTTTGTCTTCTCTAGAGTTGATGAGAATAATAGATCTTGTTGGTTCGAGTCATTGTCTCTTGTTGGATATTATCCATCGTAATTCTAAGTGTGACAGTATTTATTGATTCTATTCTTTCTTTTTTGGCTCAAATTTGAAAATTTTACTGCATATTACAGCAAGAAGCTTATTTTTCATATAATTTCTCTTTTGTACATTTATTCTTTGCTGCAATCGTATAAACCAAACAGGAGCAAGGGTGTTTTCGGCTGGTGTCAATTGTAACTATGGTGAATAGATAGCCATGTATTCAAAAACCACATTGATTTTTACGTTTTAAAGAGATTTAAATGATGGCTGATTTATTAAATGTGTTGATTTCGTCCTGGAATTTTGAGAATGGCACCATTGTGGAGTAATAGGATTCAGGAGTGGCTAGGCTTACTCTTTAGGTGATGTACTCTTGTGAGTTGTGAAGCTTTAGTGAGCCGTAACAGCATTATTATTACTTATCCAAAGAAGCGGTTAACAGACAGTTTTCAGATAAAGATCCTAATTCCTTTTCGCCTGAAACCAAACCTTGTCATAGATTTGTGCCTTCATGACCATATATGCAGAGGCAAGTAATCATGGTAAGGCATGTGATTCATTGGTAATATGAAGGATGAGTACATATCATATTTCTCAAGCGTGTACCTTAGTTGATAAGCTCTTCTATTGATGTTATTCTCGTGTTAAACAAAGTTCAAAAATATGTTGCGGTTATCTTCCTTGTACTCCATTAGATCCAGATGCCAGAACTCGAATGTCAGCTTATAACAGTTAATGCATAGCTGGGAACAAGTTGAAGAAGCCGTTATCAGCAACAAATACCATTGTCATAACCCCGCATGTTATTCTAGATTATCTTTTGCAAATTATATGCCAGCATAGGGAAGTTCTTTCTGTTACTTCAGTCCTTTGTTAAAACTAGTTTGCAACGAACGTGATGCATGTGATGCCTAGCTTGAGATGTGATTGATTAAGTTATAGCAAGTTCACAATAACACAAGAAGTTACCAAAAGAAGTTGACTTAAATTGTTATTTGAAATAACTAAAAGATGAAATTGAAAAATAACTGGTGGCAAAATATGGTTGCGATTGCTTAGTTGTATATATGTCATATAGATAACATGAGTCAAGTGTTTCATAATGCTATCATGTTTATTATCCTTACCTCTTTTCTGAAATAAGGTATCTCAATAGGATTAACTTTAAAGACTTAAGAGGTAAATCTGATCTTTTGACAGATATTGGAAGGATTTATGTCTGAATTTGCATTCGTGAATTTATTAAGGGAATGCAAAGAGGGGTCTGAGTGATCTGTAACGTAAAACCAGGGGCTAGCTTTTTTGGCAGATATTGATAGATAAGGATTTAACCTAGATGTTCACCTTATAATCTTCCTATGTTCTGCAACCTAAACTATGGAATATTGAGCCTTCCAAGAAATTCGGTGAACTTTGAAATAGTTTTACTAGGGTGTAAAGTTTTGCATGTTTATGCAGCAAGCTCAATTAGTTAAAGATGTATCATTATCAACCATGGGAACCTTCAACTGCAGATCATGCACGAAGCACCAGAAATGGCACAAACACTATAGCAGCCGGGTGGCATTCTTGGGAAACCAGAACCGCACTGTTAGAGGCACGAATAGCAAGGATCGAGGCTTGACTGGATGGACTTGAAGCAAGGATGTTTTATCAGAAAAAGGCACCGTGCATCATTTCTGTGCTGTTTTTGGTTACCCTTGCATATGCCATACGGAAATGAATGTCAAGGATGATAAACTGTTGCAGCTGTAGTGTTGTACTGCTCGACTTAGATGTTGACACAGCTAGCCATCTGATGCAATTTTTTCTCTATAGAATTTAATCTAATTCTAACAAGGAGAAAACTAACAACTTAAATATTGTCAACTTGTTGTATGATATTGCTATTCTTGGTCTGTCTACTGATGATTGTCGCACCCATGCTTTGTTGCTCTTTATGAGAGACCGTCACTCGTCTGAGTCACACTTACCAATAAAACTGCAAGCAAGCAATGCATGTTGGCTCATATCTGCTAAAAAACTCCTGGTATTTATAAAGATCAAAATGAAGAACTTGTATACTTGAAAACCAAGCAAACTGTTCGGATACAGCCTGTTACAATTGATTGATCAAGAAACAAGAATAGTAAACAACTTGCTAGAGAAGTTGCAAACAAAACATTGGACATAGCTACAGAAATACAGAAGTATGAATAGCATTGAGGTTCAAGGAAAAGAGTCATTCCAAATCTATTATCCCGAAATTGGAGAGCATGATCTTTACTTGATCAACAAAGTTTGAGCCTGTTGCATACTCTGTTAGCAGCCCAACAGCAAAACCAAACATTGCCCATCTACAACACCAACATCCCCAAAATCAGTCATCATATAGTAAGTATTTGCATGATTATTCAAGTACCCGAGATCAAGTAGCCAGGATAAGGATTTTTACAAGTTAAATGTAATAGAAAACTAACAACAGAACTGCAATCTTAATGAAACAGTCGAACATGTGTAACATTGAATTAAGCTTAACAAAGTCAAAAGAAAGATTCACCAGCCAGGATTTGATGAATCATCTATGAAAGAAATGCAGATAACAAGTATTCATTCAATGAGGGATTGGCACAAATTTAGCTTATTTCATACCTATTCCTTTGGTATAGATTTAGGTAAAAAATACGATGTACACAAAGGTGCATCGTCTTCCTAATCCATTACGGTGTGCATACACATTGGTGAATCTTAAAATTTAGATATGACGATTTACTACAAATGGAGCCCATGGACACTTGTATGAAATATTCTCCAACATCAAGCAAAGTGCTCATAGGCTATTGCTATTCTGCTAAAGTTTTTGGCTAAACATTTGGATTGTCTACTTCAATTGAACAATTAAATAGCACAGTAAGCATTGCTGGTATAAAATTGATCAAATTGCTAACCAATTCATATGTCAAAACACTTGCCAGTACAAACTTACTCAAGAAGCTCAGTTGCCCACAGCTGAATGTAAATCTTGTGCTAGTTGTTTCCTTAATTCTTATGGTGTTTTATATGAATTTGTTTAAACCTTTCCACTGCTCATAGCAAATTTGAACTGCTTATGGCTTCATTGATTAAGGCAGGCTAAGGAACATGTACATCAAATCCTAACATTGTCTTCAACAACCGAAACTGTAAAATGTGATCCTTGCAGACTAATTTACCCACACAGGATTTCTATCTCTATGACCTTTTAAGCAAGAATCACAACTCCTTTTACTCTTTTCTTTATTGGTTTCTCAATTGACTCTACCATGGAGTCCTTACTTTCTTATTGTCATAAAGTAGCATCATATCCATCAATGTATCCAAAATTATGACTAAATAAAGAGGGCATATTCCATTTACCTTCCATTAGCAATCTCATTCTTCCCAAGGAACCCAAAGAAAGGCCCTTGATTTGATTCCTCAAGCTTCTTCTGCTTAAAGTATTCTTGCAGCTCCTTTGCCCTCTGCCTCTGAAACTCCAAAGTGATCACATTCTGGTCTCCAACAGCTGCCACAGAAGCCGCCTTTGCAGGCGGCGGAGGTAGAGGCGGAGGCGAAGGAGAAGAAGGAGGTGTGGGTTGAGATGATGGAGAAGGAGGAACTGGTTTCAAAGGAGGTGGTGGGGAAGGAGCCACAGGTCTTCTCAAAGGACCTTCAGTTTGAGAACTCCTTATGGTGACAATATAAGGCTTGGCTGCTCCAGGCAATCTATAACTAGTCGAGGAAGATGATGATAAGGAAGATGAAGGGTTTGGGATTTTGAGACATGGGATTGAGGTTGCCATAGACATTATTCCTCTTTATGTTTCTAAATTCTGGTTTGGTTTTTTTAATGTTCTTCACCAGTTTAAGATTGTGTTAGATGTGCGTTGTGTGGACAAGGCGTGGCCAAGTCTCAATAAGAAAGTCTACAATGTTGGTTGGTTGATTGGCGCCACTGGGTTGTTCAGCGTGTGAGAAACTCATGTCATCCGCAATTCTAACGACGCGCTTCCTGTGCGGGTGGGGTACTAGTTTTTTTCTTCTTCTTTTCTTTATTAGTTCTTCGTTCTTTTCAATTCTTCCTCAATTGTTTTGAAAGTGACATGAAAATAGGAACAATTGGGACAAGTTGTGTTCTGTAAATTCCATTTTTTATCTTGAAACACTAGTTTTGTAAATGGGAGCTTTATTTGAATCCCTAAAATTCCTTTCTACAACTCAAAATTTTTATTATCAAAATAATCTTACATTAAATAAGCTTTAGCAAAATACCATTGAACCCCTCGTACTCCCATTTACTTCTCTTTTTCCTTCGCATCGTTCCGTCTCGCAAACCTTAAATCTAGATTAAAACTATTCTTACTATCTTATGCATTTAGAAAATGGATACTCAAATGATACAAATATTGGTGGGGATGAAGAATATCGAGGTAAGTTATGGCGTTCACGATTTTAGCCCAAAATTTTTGAACATTACAAAAACGTATTTTTGGATTAGGAGTTTAGCACAAGGATTTACATTTTAGTAAGCCTTAAGAAGTTCACGGATTTGCTTCATTGACTTACAGATTTGCATTTCTATAAATTTTTGAAAGCTTACGAAAACGAATATCTATAAAGCCTTTTTAAAATTACAAAAAAAAAAAATCTGTAAAATTCAAATAATTTATGATAATTTTTTTGTGATTATCGATTTCACTAAAAATAATAATAATAAACCCAGACAATTTAAACAAAATTTAAAACCCAATCAAAGAAAATTTACCTCAATAGAGATTTAATGGCCGGAGTAGTATGAAAGTTGTGATTATTGATGATTTTGAGCTTGATTTTTGTTGATGGCTTTATTTTAGAGATTGAAGAAAAGAGGATTTCAGTTTTGAAATTACAATGAAAAAGTAAAATGAGTATAAATAGGTCGGCAACAATTTGGATCAAGATAGTTTTTATTCATTTAAATTTTGATTCAATTTTATAATTATAAAATTTAAATTTGATTCGATTCAAAAATTTTTTTTATTTTTTTATATTTGAATTCGATTCGATTTTATATTATATAAATCGTATCCGATTCAACTCAAAATTAATAAAATATTATATTTTAAATATAAAATATTATTTTTTAAAATATAATTATATAATTATATAAATATATATAAATTAATAATTAAAAAATAATTTTTATATAATATTAGATTAGATTGAATCAAATTTACTTAAAATTCGAATTTGATTCGATCTTAATTTTTTTTTAATATTATCTGATTTATTTGATCTAATCTAAAATTTGATTTTTTTTAAAAAAATTGATTTTATAAAATCGAATCGGATTAAAATAATCTGTGGATTGGGCTGACAACGCTAAGTGTAAAGAATATTATAGAAAAAAAACTTAGAATCGGGTTAAAAAACGAGTGAAATGGTTTGTTTAGGATTTAAATTTTTGGGTACTGAAAATTGTGTGACGAGCAGTTTTTAGGGCGTAAATAAAAGCACCCGTTGATGGATATCAAATCTCACCTCATGGTAGTACTCCTTAATTCCGTCACCATTTTTCTATTTCATTTTATTATTTTTTATGTTAAAAAATAATAATATTCAAGTTCATCCAACCATATAAAAGTATATTACATCAAACTTTTAATCTGAATATTTACCAGTTATTATTTTTATTTTGAAAAAATAAAATAAAAGGAAGAGTTGAACCCGTATCAATCACTAAAGCTAAACGACTGGAACAAAGGATCAACATGAAGGAATATATATCAATCCCTTTGAATGCTCATTCACCGCCACTGCAACCCTTCTTTCTTAACCAGTAGTAAGAGAAGAAGCACAGCATGAAAATCCTTTTTAACTACAAATGATTGAGCTCAAAAAATATGACGCATTAATTACCATGAAATAATGGACAACAGAGTCATGCAACAACAATAATATAATTTAAAAAAAAAAAAAAAGAAAAAGAAAAACAAAGTGAAGCCCAGGCAGGATGACAAAATTGAAAATCTCAAATTAAATGTTTAAATATTGACATAAAAGATCCTCTCTATCGGTTGCATTCCATTTCATTTCCATGTTGAATCAAAACAAAATTTGCTTCTTCTTTGCCCACAAATCAATTGGGCATTTCCAACATAAGATTCAGCACCAATTTACTTGATGCATCATTGAACTCAACAAATGGCCAAACTACATAACTCTACATGAACAATTTCTTTCACTTCCATTTTCGAATTCATTGTCTGAACCACCTGTTTCACTGACATAAATAAAAGGTACAATATCATCAACAGAATTCAAGGTAATTTGGAAATAAACAAAAAAAAAAAAAAAAAGTGAATAAAGACTGAACAAGCAAGGGTTTGGCCAAAAGAAGGAACAAGCAAGGAGAATATTTGAACAGTTAAATAAAATAAAATAAAATAAAATAAAGAAAACAAGCAGAGAATCTTCACCATCTGAGAAGAAACACCAAGCCTACAGAATTACTACAAACCAAACCGATAACTGTACATTAACAAAAAAATCACCCCTTGATATTGGTAGGGAAGAGAGTGAAGAGAGCCAATTGTGTTAAATGATAATTTATGTAAGTTTCACAATGGAAATAAATGCTAAGTGAGTGAAAAAGTTGTAACCCAGAAATAAGAGGAAAGAGCTTAGATTAAATTTCCAACCCTTCTAACCAATAAACCTATTAAATAAGTCAATATAATTACAATACCTATGAATTAAGTGAGGTTAAAAAAGGGACAAAAAAGGCATAAAAAGTAAGAAGTATAATCATACTTTACTAGTGCATATCCTTATAAGTAAAAATAAAAATTAAAAAAAAAAAGGTGCAATCCATGAGGAAAAGTTCCTCCAAACAACGGTCATGTTTTGCACCAAGATTGCCGTTGTTAGCATTTATGTTTTTGAGGTCTGGTCCTTACTCAAAACGATAGCTCCCTTATTTCAATTATATGATGCACAGAACAAATTTTAGATTCTGTTAACAAGCAAGCAATGATCCACCATTATTATACCACAACACCTTGAACGGCTAGAAGGTTTCACAGAAGAATGCCTTCACAGACAGGAAGCAATGAGCTCCAAAGTGTAAAGTTCAATCTCTACCAACCAAACACCCCTTGTATGGATGAAAAATAAGATAGTCAGCTGTCTTCCTATTTGGTTGCTTTTTGATATGTTGACATGTGATGATCAAGTGAAATTGATATGAAAATTACATGCTTCTTAAATCCAAAAAAATATAAATAAATTTGAACATCACATAAAAAACGGTTCAAAAAGATATCAACTCCCAAAATTTGAGTTGACTTTTAAATCAGGTATCTTCTCTACAAATGGAACTGACATATTAGCTACCATGTGATACATTCAAGAATCTTTTTCCTCATAGAATACCCTCAGTAATCTTGAGTAAACACTCAGAAGAATCAATGCCTTTAGCATTTCTAATGATTTCCTTCTTCTCATGCGTGAAAATATTTATTGTCCCAAGAAACTTTACTTCCAACCATATGATTTTGTACATTAAATGTCATAACTCATAGTAATAATTATACCACCTGCTAGGAAATAATGATGACTTCTACTCAATTTGTTTGCATAGTAACTTAAATAGGATGGTAGGGCATATCAATCACATTTTATTCTGATTTTGTTGTCTAATCAAATTAATTAATTTTAAGCTAAGTCAAGGAGTTTCTCCATATTCATTTAATGACAAAAATTTTTAAAAAAAGGAATATTCCAACTAAACAATATTTCCCCCTTCAAACATAATTCTGTGTTACATGAATAAACATCACCAAATAGTAGATATTGACTCTGAAATAAATTTTATTAACCCTGTTTTCATGGAATTATTACCATAAAACCAAAAAGTTATATATAATTCTTCACTGCATTAGCATAATCCTTAGATTGGGTCATCAAGTATGAATACCCCTACCATATTCGTAATCTATTAGCATAGACACCATATGTATCTCCTATCAGCCACCATTGTGCAGAAAACATGGGGATTAGAAAATATATAGACACAAGATAGCTGTATCACCATAACATAGGACTTGTACACCTACTAATACATAATTTAGCTAAAATACATCAGCAATAGCGGGTTGAACCTTATAAATTATTAATTATGTACTACATCTTAGCCACATTTCTTATAAAGACAGCTATCATTCAAATTAGTATCAAAGAAAGCTCTCAAACACCTTACAAAAATCCACATATGTATGCTAATTATGATTACACATTCGCAGCATAACTTCTTACATTACATCAAACAGATCACATAGACATGTCCCTAGTGAAATCTTGAGAACCACTGCTTTAAAATCAGATCTATGCATGTGGTCAGGTAGCGTCTAACCTATCATATCTTTCTAGACCGTAAAACAAATCCAAGAAAATATATGGGCCATATTCCATGTTTTGGCAAAGGGTGCCATGCCAAATAAGCTCAGATAATTAGCAAAGAAAGCATGTCTCTGAACCTTAAAAAACCATATAAACCAGGAACTAAGCAATCGTGAATCATAACCAAGCAACCAGTAGCATGGCTTTCTTATAAAGCAACTTAAGGTTTCAAAAAATTTGGTATCAATAGAAAATTTCAGTTCATATGTATGTGGCATGTTGATTTTTGTAACATCATTCAGAACCAATTTCAAGTTTTCAACCTTACTACATCTGGCCAAAAAAACCCCTTACTACATGTCCTCCTATGCTTAGCATTCACTCAGGAAAATATTGCATCAGAATAAGAGCACCAACCAGTTTTGATTTATAACACAAATTGCAGTGGGTGTCAGCAGAACTTACATAAAAGCTATAGTAGTTAACCAAACAAGGAAACGTGTTATTCGAATAATCAAAATAGTTTTACAACCTACGGGGCATGGCTGTCCACAGATTTATGGAGGATGCTATTCAATAATGCCAAAACACCTTTATGTAACTAACTTTAAGAAAACAAGAAAGTGTAACAAGCTTAGCAGTAACTGCAGGACACATAATATTACATAAATTCATGATGCACATAAACTAAGACACAAACAGCATATCAAAATAGCATATAGAAAAACTTAAAATATGTTTGACAATTGTACTACATTGCTCATAGACTTTAATTTAGAGCAGAAATTTCTCGTACCTGGGCTTAAATTCCCTTATTTCAGCAAGCTCACTACCACAAGCATCTGTCCACTGCACCTTTCTTCGTTCTGCATAACTAGGGATATCGCCATCCTTTTCCCCTGATGCCTCACGGTCATTAACATCCTCAAGAGGAACTGGAGTATTATTTGGTTGCTTCTTCAAACTACTTTTAAGGGCAACCTTTCTTGCATTATTATTTCCATCATCAAGTTGAGTTGCGCGATCATTAGTCTTATCTGAAACAAGAGGCCCTGGCAATACATCCTGTTGTTGAACAGGGCCAACTTTCAAATGCAATGGGGTATCAAGTCCTGCGAAAGTGCGACCAAAGCAGACAAAAGAGGCGCACCCACGGGAAAGCCGGTTTTTGATGGAAGCCAGCTGGAGGTCAGGATCAGGTTCTTGGTACACCAACTGGTAATGGTTCCATGGCGAAACTCTCATGGGCTTGTCCTCGTGCTTCTGACCCAAGAGAAGAAGGGTCAAGCCCTTGCTATACCCAGACGCTGAAGAAGAGAAGAACCCTCCTCCTTCTACTGTCAGTAACATCAGTTCTTCTCATCTGAAGCACCCAGACAACACTCTTTTTTTGCTCTTTTCAACTACCCTCCAGTTACAAGAAACTGAAGCAAACTACCCCCAACTCCTTCATCCACACATATCTCACAGTAAGTGAAGTTATCAAGACTTCCCAAAAAATGAAATTTAACAATCAATGAAAGCTCTTAAATTCCATTTATAGTTATTAATGAAGTGCAATCCTATGTAACCAAAGTTATTGCAGACATAATAATATTGAATTCCCCAAAAACTGTGATAATGATTAACATGCGCACCCGCTCATTAAAATTTATACTACCACACATAATTAAGATCTATAAATTTATAAAATAAATAATTAAAATTGAATAACATTAACTTTTTTTTTTTTAATTTTAAAAGCTCAAAAAAGAAAAGAAAAAACAAAATAAAGAAATTGAGCAACATTATTCAATAAATATACAGACATTCTTAAGAACATCAACGGCAATAATAAAAAATAAATTAATTTAAGAATGATTTAAGATCTGTTTACTTTTTAACGTAACAACAACCAGCTCAAAACAATGCTCTCTGTTTGATTGAAATGAAAGCATTAAAAAAATGGAACAGAGAAAAGTTGAAAGTGAACAGTTGAAATTGAAAACCGTTTTTTTTTTTGTTTGCTTTCCTTTTATTTTCTCGGGAAACATACACGAAATCAGATCAAAAAAGGAATTCCGGAATTTACCTGATGATGATTAAACGGATCTGAAAAGCAGGGAAAACCCAAGAACTAAATCGGCGGCGCCGGCATGTTCGATCGCGGATAATGTACGAATTAATCGGCGAGGAATTGGAAAAATGGAGAGTGGAAATATTTTGAGGGAAATTATAAATAAAAACAAAAAATAAAGCAATATCAGAGTAAAAAGAACTAAGATTACTCCTGGTTGGAATTATTTAAAGTGGAGGAGAGCGATAGTGACATCCATGGCACATGATTGCGATTAGCATGGATGCCTTTTTTTTCTCTTTTATTTATTTATTTATTGGATTTTGGTTTTCTCAAAAACTTTTTAATAAGAAAAAAAATAAAATGTGTTGTGCAATTTAATGTGTTGGGAAGGTATTTATTCAAGAGTAAAGCTGGCTTGTGTTTGCTTGCTTATCGCTTTGCTCTTGATAAAATAATTATACCTTAAGGTGCTATTCAAATGCACCTGTAATGCAATTAGTCAAAAAAGAAGAGAATTTCGTTGCATTAAAAGTGCAATGAGATCTCAAAATCCAAGCGGACTTTAAAAGTACTTTGAATTTTTTATGTGTGTTTCTACGACACTGATAAAAAAAAAAAAAAAAAAAAACCCTTAAAATGATATCATTTTATGTGTTTAGATGTCATTGTTAACATTATTTTATTTCTTTAATTTATTTCTAAAATTGATAATAAAACTTGAAAGAAAACAATAAATAGAAGAAAACTTTGGTTGGCTAGATATTTTTGCTTTTAAATTTTTGCTATTTGTTTTAATTTTTATTATTTATTTATTATTTTTAAAAATAAAAAACAAATTTAACAATCAAAAGAAATCTTATCTTTAAACATTTACAATCCTAAACATCTTTTATTCATAGGTTAGACTTGAAGATGAAAGACAACTTCTTGTCTTTGTTTTTAACATATTTTATTTGTTTTTTAGGAAAAAAAAAAAAAGAATACAAGAGAATTGTTCTTGGAGATGCCATATTTCAATCTATTCGTGTTTTCAGTTAAAATTAGAATTAGAAAGCCAAATACAAAAAAAGATGGTTGTGAATAGGGGTGTAATCGAGTCGAATCGAGCCGATACAATGATAAGCTCGAGCTTGAGCTCGATTTTAAACTTGTCATTCGATACTCGACTCGAACTCGATTGAGTTTCATTTTCTTAGCTCGAGCTCGATTCGTGATCGAAATCGAGCTATTCGAGCTCGTTCGATTAAGCTCGACTAATATATAAAAAAAAAAGCTCGATTTTTATACTCGAAAAAAACTCTATTATTTGAGCTCGAGCTCGAGATCTTTTACAACTAATTTTTATCAAACCTAATAAATATTATATTTTCAAGATAACAACAATAATAATAGCAACAACAATAACAACAACAATAACAATAATAATAATAATAACTTACACAACAACCAAATTTAAGCAAATAAAAGTCTCATTAAATGATTCAAATACAACACACAAATATAAGACATAATGAAACTCAGAAATTAAAATCCTAATTGAAAGATATTAAATATCCAAGCAAATAAGTTCACAAATAAGTTACAACAAACCAATAACAATGCATATGCTACCTTCACAATATTATGTCTTCAAATGAACATTGGGCTCATATTGTTTTTCAATAAACCTATACAAAAGAATAAATACAAAACAAAGAAATTATAATAAACAATAAGAATAACGATAAAAGTACCCATGTAAGAAAAAGATTGTAATATTATTACAATGATCAATAACTTTAAATTTTTAACATTAGCATTAACATGGATTTTATCTTGTCAGTTGTCTTATAATCAGAGCAAAAAAATATAAACAGTATCTTGTCAATTACCTTAACATGAGTTTCTATCATTAGTTAACCTATGGTTCGTAAACTATAATGCAAAAAGATCAATCTAGACTAGCTACTACCTATTTTTCTTTAGTAATGTTGTGACAAATTAAAAGTATTTAATAATAATATTTCATACCTATATAGAAGACATTAGATATCCTCACTTTAGGGGATTTTGAGTGCAATCTCAATTGATTTCTTCTCTTTCTACATAGATAAAGTAAAGGAAAATAATAGTTAAAAATTAGATTAAAGCAATGATAGTCACTTAATAACAAAATAATAAAAAAAAAACTCACTTTGTTCTTCTTCTTCACTCCATGAAGATTCCGACACCAATCTCTTCCACAAAGTAATGCTTGCACTGTGCCAGGAGATAAAGAAGCACGATAAGTATCAATAACTCTACCTCTTGCACTAAAGGTAGCTTCTGAAGCTACTGTAGTGATAGGAATAGCAAGTATATCCCGAGCCATCTTGGATAAAATACGATACTTCAAAATGCTCGCTTTCCACCATTTCAAAGCATGAAACTTAGTGGATCTCCTTCACAGATAAAATAGCCCTTAGCTAGGTAGACATCTAAATCAGATTGTTATGGGTGAACAGTTTCAACTAATTTTACATAATTTGCAAATTCAAACCAACCAGAAGAAGAAGCTTCTATATTCATACCACTAATACCATTATCATGCACTTGAGTTTCAGCACTATGCTCATTGCCAAATTGATACTCACGAGCATATTCATCATAAATCCCATAAAGAGCATCTCGAACTTTAACAATATTTTCTCTTGCTTCTCTATCAGGGTACATTCGAGGAAAGCAAAACTCAATCACCCTCATTTTGCACCTTGGATCCAAGATTGCTACTATAGACATCAACAAATTACATTGTCCCCAATACTTATCAAATTTACTCTTCATCTTACGAACCATTGCTTGAATAAATTCATTTTCATCATTCATCCTTTTATCCAACAACACTTTCACACGATAAACTTCATTCAAAAACAGGTTTGAAGTTGGATAATCACTTCCAGAGATGATTTTAGTGGCTGAATTAAAAACTTCTAAAATCTCATAAACTTTCTCCACTTTTTCCCAATCTTCATGACTTGGACAACATTCATAATAAGATTCTCGCTCTTTGAGTCTCGAAAACACTTATTTGAATTTGATTACAATCGACAACATCTCGAATGTCAAATTCTAACGTGTTTTACAATCGAGAATGAGTTTCCTATCAGGTAACTGTAACTGCTGTACTATGTCAAAAAATGAGTTAAGTCTTACCTCATTTTGATTAATAAAATTGACACTTTCATAAACATACCAATCACATTCTTAATCTCAAAAAAGGCCATCTTGAACCATGAGATTTAATATATGTGCACAACACCGAACATGAAATAATTTTCCTCCATAAAGCAACATCCTATTTCTTGAAAAAGTGTCTTTAAAAATTCTAATCGTCACATCATTGCTTGAAGCATTGTCCATAAAAAGTGTAAACACCTTGTTTTCAATTCTTCATTCCTTTAGACACTTAAAATACAATCAGCAATCTCAACACCGTGACGAGGAGGAGGTATGTGAACAAAGCTAATAACACGCTTTTGCAATCTCCAATTAGAATCTACAAAATGTGTTGTAAGAACCATGTACTCAATCTTTTGATTACTTGATTTCCACAAATCTGTTGTCAAACTAATCTTACTGACAGTCTTCAACAATGCCTTTAATTTCTTCTTTTCTATTTCATAAACTTGCATGCAATCTTTTTTAATAGTATTGCGTGATACCTTTTCCCATTCAGGCATCCCACGTTTTTGCATCATGTTAAAACATTCCTCTTCTATAATCGAAAAAGGATGCTCGTGCATAAGTATCCAATGTGCAGCTGCTTCTCTCATCTTTACCATATCAAACTTGCCATCTGTGAGAGCAGGTAGTATCTGTACATCACCACATGTGTTTACTGGCTGAAAGTTGATCATTTGTTGTTGATTCTGAAAAATTTTTCTCTTAACACAAGTTATCAAATGCCAATTTAAATTGAGTTGTACTTTTACTTGTATTTATTGCTAGCTTCTTCTTGCAATAGACACACTCTCATTTTTTGGAACCATCAGAAAGAGTGACTTCTTTGAACACTAACCAAACAGTAAATGTCTTTTGCCTCTTTTTGTCATTACTTTCTTCACACTCTTCAGGGTCAACATTATCACATTCTCTATCATTGGCATCAATGATTGGTGTTTTATCTGTGTTATCATTAGTGGCATCTAAAGCTTCATTCATTGAATCATTACCATCATCTGACATAATTCGACTAGTAAAAAAATTTATTGTCGGCTGAACTGGTATAGAAAAGATATCCGGTGTGGTTGATGACATGTTTAGTTCCCTATAGCAAAAAAAAAAAAGACAAATCAAAACAATAATTTAATTTTGGGATCAAACAATAATGCAAACAAGTTGATAGAAACATGTGCGATAAATTCTATTGCCAGAAACATGCTAAACAAGTTGCGAGAACAAATTATTGGAAGAGTATAAAATTTTATTCTTTGGGAAAATATACTAATATTGTAGGAATTTTAATAAATTTAAGATTACCTACTTTGATAATAATTTCAATTTCTAAAATCAATTTCTTAAAATGAATATTTCTTATTAATTTTTACAATTATACATGCCTATTTAGTATTTATATAACATTAACTCAATCTCATTAGAAATAAGTGTCAGTTTATATTCTAACAAATCTAATATGCATAAAGAAGAAAAGTATTCACATTAAACAGTCCCCAATAAATTAGTGATGAACTATATGAAAGTTCAAATTATGATTATGACTAAAAGCAATAGAGCCAATGACTTTTTTTTTTTTTAAATAATATGAACCATCCAAAAGTTTTTCTACTGATAAAGCATATTGTACAAGTCTTGAAGTGGCCCAAATTCAATTACTTTCTTGCTAATAATACAGAGACTTTTGGTTTACAAAATTCAGTATTTAAATGCAACTTCACAAAGAACATACTTCTTTTCACAAGTTTGCAACAAAAATAAAAGTATAATATGATAGTGTTTGACAAACAAATCAGAATTGAGAAGATCAATACTAACAAATAGCTATAACACCTTGCCCTTTTTCTTTGTTGTTCTCGATCTGCATCCCCACAATATTCATAAAGTTATTTAATTTAGGCATTCATAAGGGTATTTAATTAAGGCATTCTTATTTAAACCACCTTTTAGCATGAATTGGAAGCTTAACATAAAAACATTTAATAAAAAAATGGCCCTCAAAAAGTATGTCATGGAAAAATATCCCATTTTTTTTAAGATTAAGAAAAAAAATCCCCTTACTTTTATCAGTTGCCGGTAGTAGGGAAAGCAGCTGAGATAGAGAGAGCAGTTCCCCCTTAAAGTCCTTTATGGATTTCGAGTCGGGAATAGAGCAGTGGCTTAGATTCCCTGATCGAGTAATGGGGTTTGTTTTTCTCTCGTTCACGTTGAGGGACCGGGTTCCGTTCAAGCTGCTGCGAAAGAATTCATCGAAGGGGTGGAACGAGCTTACCTTTTAGAGAGAGGAGAAAGGGCTACATTGAAGGATCAGGTTCTGTTCAAGATCGGGTTCTGTTCAAGCTACTGCAAACATCGAATG